GGGGCAGGATCGGCGGGGAGTGCAGGAAGAAGTGCATGTGTGGCTCCCTTAAAAAATCTAGCCGCTCTTGATCCCGCACCACCATCTTAACACCCCTACCAGTGGGGCCCCATGCACCCCCCCCAGAGCACAGGGAAGGAAGGGAAGACAAGAAAGCGCATGCGCTGTTGTGGGCACACTTTCTTGTCTTCACTTCCTTCCCCATGCTGCCTTCCTGCCTTCCTTCCTGCAGAGTGGGGGGGAGTCCCGAGGCTCCGCACTGGATCCGGCTCCAGATCTGGCACAGAGCCACGGGACTTCCCCCACATGCTATGCACCCCCCCCAGAGCACAGGGAAGGAAGGGAAGACAAGAAAGCGCATGCGCTGTTGTGGGCACACTTTCTTGTCTTCACTTCCTTCCCCATGCTGCCTTCCTGCCTTCCTTCCTGCAGAGTGGGGGGGAGTCCCGAGGCTCCGCACTGGATCCGGCTCCAGATCTGGCACAGAGCCACGGGACTTCCCCCACATGCTGCAGGAAGCCGGAGCGAGCTCCAGTTTTGTGGGAGGCTGTAGCGCCAGCGTGGGCTCCTCGTTGGGGGGGTAACTGATGATAATTGATTATGGTTCTGAGACTGCTTCGGCTGGTTCCTCAAGTACCTCAGGATTCTTTCTCCTGATCTTTCCCTGTTTTGACACGTTTCTTTCCCCTTGTTGTTAATAGAGTTAAACCTTTACATCCCTATTAAGAATTATTTGCTTTACTCTATGAATGAGTAGTAAATCTGTGAGCTTTGTAGAAAGAAAAAGCAAGCTAAAAAGTTACCTTAGGACTGTAGGTTTTAAAAACTCCTTCATATATACCTCCATTTTTCACTTGTACTTCACATTTGGATCCCTAAAATGTGAGAGAAAAAAAACAAGCACTTTGACGTAAAGACTGTCAAGTGACATCTGTGTGTGCTTTCTTCTTTACTTGTGTTTTTGTGTATTTAATGCGAAGAGCTCAATTCTTATCCAGGCCTTTACCATTCACTATTTCCAGACACTCACAAACATGTGCCTATGCTTTGCATATCCAAACCCTTGTGTGCACTGAAGAGTTTGTCCTAATGGTGTCTGCAGGTGTCCATTCAAACATTTATGGCACACAAGTGTTACAATTGTTCAAGTGCACATGCAAGTGTTTGCAAGAGCAAACTGCGCGCATACATATGTGCATGCAAGGAGAGGGTGAAGGCTGAAAGCTTACCCAAAGTATCTAGCAGCAAGAATGTGGGACTGGCCTGGGTGATTCGCGTCTTACTTTTACCATGTCAGCATTTTCTTAAAAACATAACTTTTTGGGTGGACTGTATTCAGATTTAGGTTTTAAACTGACATTTGTTTCACTTACTCAAAATCTATCTAAGGCTACGTCTAGACTACAAGCCTCTTTCGAAAAAGAGCATCTAGACTGCAACCACTTCTTTCGAAAAAGCGAGCCGCTTTTTTGAAAGAGAGCACCCAGGCAGTCTGGATGCTCTTTCGAAAAAACCCTGTTCACATTCAAGAAAGCCTTTTTTCGAAAGAGCACTTTCGAAAAAAGGCGTTCTTCCTTTTAAAATGAGGTTTACCACAGTCGAAAAAACTGCCGCATTCTTTTGATTAAATTTCAAAAGAACACAGCAGCAGTCTAGACGCAGGGGAAGTTCTCTCGAAAAAAGGTCACTTTTTTTTCTTAAAAAACCTGTAGTCTAGACACACCCTAAGATGGCAAAGCCAAAATAAGTAGGGGTGTGGGAAGAAACATACAGTTCATTATAAGCAATGTGCAACTTTCTAAACTAAAAACAGTCAGCACTATGGTTCTTCATAGTTGAATCCTGGCAAAAGATAGCCACTGTTCTAATTTAAAGGCTCACAATTAAGCTGCAGTTAGTTTAATATTTTATAATTAATTCTGTATCAGCATCTCTAGAGATGTTTACACTCCGGTCATATGATAACTTACAACAACTGATGTAAGTATGTGAACCATTCTCATGTTTGCATAGATGCCATCAAAAGAAATCTGAAAGATAAAAAGTTTGTATCAGAAAGCAAAAAAGTAGAACTATTTAACCACAACAATTAAAATGAGGTTATGGAAGAATTCCCAGCTTCAAATATTACTACTTTGTAAGAGCATGTGGATCAAATACCTTGTTGTAGGGGAGCCTGCACTACCCTGCCTTGGCAATAAATGGTGATGTCTGCCTTGTCCAAAGTGCGGAATTCTGGCCTGCTCAAGTCTGACGTCTGTGTGTTTTGTTACAAGGCCCGAAAGTCAGGAACTGTTTTGCATAACAAAGCAGATTAAGCCTGGTACATGAGACCACGTCAAGAACACAGGACAAGCAGCCTTGTACTGGTACTTGTTTCTGATAAGCAAAAAGTACAGATGCAGCCATGAAACGGTTAACTGCGCACATAGCAGTAACATCCTGAGTAGCAGGATGTACCCCAAATAGGGGCATTGGGCATTTGACGTATCCTACACAATACGTAATCAATTGGTAAATATTATTAGAACAACCAAGTCTCTCTCTGCTATAAATTGGGTTTAGTAAGAACAATCGATGGGAGGGAATGGGCAGGATTGACTCACACGTCCTGCTCAAGGTAGCTAGAAGTGATTAGGCCACACTGATTGGATGCTATCCCACATTTAAGGCCACCTGGAACCAGTTCAGGCAGGGCATTAGGTCACCAGTGACTTCCTGGAGCTGCTGTCTGAGATGCATGCTTCAAGGTACGCCCCCTGTACAGGCGTTTCTCAGGTTCTTCTCCTGCTTGCCTACCTCTCTGAGGGACAGCAAAGCATTTCCACTGTGCGCTTTGGTTGCCCTGTTTTTGGATACCACAGCACACCCTGCTATGGAGCCAGAGCTGCCTCTGGGCATGCAACGGCCCCTGTCATGCTGCAGTTTCTGCAGGCTGCCCTCCAGGACCTGCAGGAACATGACCCTGAGCTGCTTGAGGAGACCCTCAATATGTGTCTGGGAGTTCAGCTCTTCCAGCTGCACCCCACTGTGGAGCATCGCTTATGGCGACTGGACACCAGTTCCAACTGGTGGGACCAGCTCGTCATGGTGTGGTGGGACGACCAGCAGTAGCTCCAGAACTTCCATATGAGGAAGGAGATATTCCTGGAGCTGTGTGCCCTTACACGACAGGACACGGAGATAAGACCCATCCATCCCCCTGGAGAAGTGGGTCGCCATCATGATTCAGAAGCTCTCCACGCTGGACAGTTACTGATCCGTCAGGAACCAGTTTGGCGTGGGGAAGTCAACCGTCG